CCCCCCCACCTTCATTGCAACCCTGAACCACAAATGCTCTCCTCTTATTGGTCTCTTGTGATCTCCTTTCTTGGGGAGTGTTTCCTGCACCCTACAAACTAAACAGCACGACTTTGGGAAGATGTGGGGTCTGTGTGTGGGTGCGGATCGCAGAGTCTCATCGATCTTTTCTCTTTCCAGGCCCGTGGTGGCCTCCAAGGGAGACAAGCTGGAGCTGCAGGATTGCCTGGAGTACAGTCGGAGGGCGAAGGTAACCACCATTGACTACCCCCACCCCCAATTATTCTCGGCTGGGATAAAGGAGGCTGCAGAATCGTTCCTGTTTCTGCCATGCCAACCTCATCCGGATGTCGCGATTGCTTGTTGACTTGCTGTTGGGGTTCCCGGCGGTTGCCCTAATTCTGTGATGGCGAACCTATGGCACACGTGCCACAGAGCCATTTGTGCCGGTGAGCAAGCTGCAGGCAAACTTTAACAGATGATTTTCAGCCGGTTTGAGGCCTTTTTCAGCCTCCCAAAGTCTTGAGGAAGGCTTCTGCAGGCTTCTACAAGCTTTGTAGGCTGAAAATTAGGCCCGTTTTGTCATTTTCGGTATTTTCAGAAAAAACAGGAAGTTGATGAAACGGGGCTAGTTTTTTGGCCTACAAAGCTTGCAGAAGCCTGCAGAAGCCTTTCTCAAGGTTTTGGGAGGCCAAAAAAGGCCTCAAACCGGCTGAAAATCAGCTGTGAGGTGCAGTGCAGGTAATGGGGCGGCAGGAGTGGGTATGTGCGGGGGATTGCGTGCGCATGTGTAGGGACTGTGGGGGGAGGCACGCATTGCCTTCTGGGTGCTGGCACGTGAGCATGCAAGTGCACACACAATTTTTGGCACAGGAGCCCAAAAAGGTTAGTCACCATTGCCCCAATTAAGTCATGAGCCTCCAGCCAAGCTTCAAAGAGAGTCCAAAACATTTATTAGGAGCAACATGTCGGCATGATCCCAGTTGAAGCCAACTCTGACACATGTAATTCACGGTCACCTGTAACACTGTTTCCCCTCTCCCCTCTGGATGTGTCATACATCAGATTCTCCAACTAAGCACATTCACAGGCTGGGTGTTATCAATCACATTCTCCAATGAAGGATTTTCGAGGGCAGAATATCTGGTCGCTTACCTACAATCTTTGTAAGATAAGCGTGGAATGTATTTCTGTTCTCTTCCCCCCCCCCTTTATGGCAACTCAGAAACAGGCATGCTTTACGAGTTGACGTGGGGGGGGTTGGCCCCTCCCTTCTTTCCAGTCCAGAATCCTTGGTCCCCCTGATGGCCAAAGGAGACAGGCGAGGCAGTCCTAGACTTACAACAGTTTGTGTAGTGACCGCTTGAAGCTACAAGCAGGGGTGGGATTCTACCAATTCGCACCTATTTGCTAGAACCGGTTGTTAACGTTCTAAGCAGTTGGGAGAACCGGTTGTTAGAAGAAATTACAGGGCTAATCCTGTAAGGAAGGCAGGAAGGAAACATTCTGGTGTCGCTTACAGAAGCTGCCTCTCCGTTAACCCTTATTACATTCTTGGTAGGACTAGACTTCCTGTCTCACGAACTTCTCTGGAGTTTTTTTCCCCCTCCTTTGCTGGTACTTTGCTTGTGTGGAGGGACCATTCAAAGTTACAGTGGCACTGAAAAAAGTGACTTATGACCGTTTTTCACACTTATGACTGTTGCAGCATCCCCTCCACAGTCATGAGAGGCCAGGCAAGGAGTTTGTGCCTCAATGTGAGTGATATTGAGTTGGCCATGCCCAGCCAGTCACATGACCAAGCCACGCCCACCACCTAAGCCACGCCCACAGAACCGGTTGTTAAAAAATTTGAATCCCACCCCTGGTTACAAGGACCCTGAAAAATCATTTTTCATACTTAGGACTATTCCAGTTGGTTACAAACAAAAATCAGCACACACCCCCGCACTCCCCATTAGGACGGCTACCTGCACGCCGACCTCTGTCCCCCTCCCCCACAAATTGCCACCTTCACCTCTGCTTTTCTTCCAAAGATGAAGAAAGTCCGCACCATCACGACGAAGTCCAACTCCATTCGGCAGGGGAAGAGCCAGATGCTGCCTGTGTCCATGAACGGGAAGGACGACGATTTGTGGTGCACAGAGTTGGAAAGGTGAGGGATGGGCAGGGCAAGGGAACCCGGGACGGGGTGGGGTGGGGGAAGCAAAGGGTTGGAAAACACGTCAGTCCTGGAATGGCTCCCCTAGGGAAGACTGTAGGGCAGCTTTTAGATGAGTGGATGTCCACTCCCAGAATCCCCCAGCCAGTTGATGGGGAGAGTCCAACTCCCAGAATCCCCCAGCCAGCATGCTTGAAGAGGGGAGGACTTCAACTCCCAGAATCCACTAGCCGGCATACTTTATAAAATGGCTGGACTTCAACTCCCAGAATCCAC